CTGTGCTTCCAAGAAGAGTAAAAACATCTGGTTAAATTACTATGTGTGAGTACAATATGCAGGCAAAATCCTGTATGAATTGCATATGAAATAAACCATGGTTTCAATCCTTTTTGTTCTTCCAAATGTTCAGTGTGACCAGTCTGTTGAAATCGCATCTCTGATATATGTCAGCACAATGGCAACTAATGTACTGAAATGCTTCTTTTCTGAATAAAATCAAGTTCTGTTCTTGTTCTACAGCTCCCAATGTTTTAAAGTTTAATTCTGTTATGTGTGTTCCCCCCCCAACAAAGCCCCCCAAACCGGAATGGTACAAAGTGTTGCACACCAGCGGTGATGGCTCCAAGGGACTGGCTGGACGGAGTTGTCATGTGTCTGCCTGTCTACACTTGCTGTGCAGAACATCCTCTCACCTGTACAGCAGGCACAGACAGGCAGTCGCATGACAACCCAGCCTGAGGGACAGCCGCCAGTGGGAAACCGCTCTGACACACCAGAGCATCTTCACCAACAGCTCCAGCCAAGAGTCACTCTGGATCTCAGACGGCCGGTCAGTAACCAAGCCGCGTACTGCAACCCACCTAGAGTCAAACCAACACTGCCTATAAAATACAATAAAACCCACTGCTGAAATTTTTACTGTGCTTCCTATAGTACTCTTTTCCTAGTTGTTCTCATTAACTCACTAACAGTAAGTTTTATTTATACGCAGCTTTGCGGCACCATTGTATGTTTCGTCCTCCCATTTACTTCTCAGGCATAATTTGCATCATTAGATTATTGTCTATTCCTGCTAGCCACAGAAGCCGAGAGCAGCTTATTGTGTGGCAAGTTAATTCTGTAAACATTCACAATGTCAGACCGTAGAGTAACTTCTCCCCTTTCCACTCTCTCACCTCCTCACTTATTTTCATATCTCCCTCCCAAATCACACAGAATTTTACAATTGGGAATAAACTGTGAAATTATAATAGAAACTGCATCTGTCACTGGATGTTGACAATACTATCCTTTCCTATTGAAACAGAATGAAAATAATTTATTTGGAAATAAGATTAAAAGGTATTTTTCCAATAAATGTAAATTTCACATTTTTAGAAGTTCTCATCCTAGAGCCCAGCTTGGCATCCTTTGCACACCAATAATGCCAGTGAAATTTCTGGATGCTTTGGAAAGAAGAATAAAATCACATTCTCTGACTATGCCCTGTAAAAATGCTACACCACTTTACAAATGGCATCCTTTTGTTTACAATAAAGAGGTTTTTGATTCACAAGCTAGGATGGCGTTCCACATTCCCAAACTCCATTTTATCCTAATGTAGAAGTGGCTAATTCACAAAATTCATATTTGCAGGTTGACTCTCAAATGAACCTTAGCAGAAAAGCTTACAGCTTTTTATGCTACTTAACAGAACAGTAACAACTGAGAGCTAAGATGCTCAGATTTAGTCTTTTGTGTGCGTGTAGGTATGCCTTCTAATACTTTAGCTAGCATTACATGGAATACTCTATGAAAGAGATCTGTATTTGTGAGGTCAACGAACATGCTAATCTTGCACTTATTTACAACAGCCTCAAAGCGGTACATAACATTTTCCTTGCTTCATTTTAAGCAACTGGAAAAGCACAAAGTCATGGTACTGGTCACACAGCAAAGTTACGAGCACAAGCAACTGTACGCAGGATCAGAAACTACCCCAGATTAGTATTCACATAACTGATACTATAACTGCTTTAACCACACTGTTCAAACATCAACTTGATATTTCCATAATTACAAGCCTAAAAAGCATTTTTAGTCACTGATTCCCATCTCATCAGGAATAAAATCCTGCAGTATGTTTGAGCAGCAACAAAACCATGTCAAGAAACCAATCGTTTCTTTTGTAATACTGATATCATACAACAAATTTTGAAATCTTTTGCCAAAGTAACTTGCTTCAAAATGCATTCCACTGTGGGTTCTTCACTTACAAAACCTGCAGCTCACAATTACAGGAAGTAATTTATATCCTTCTAATGGCACTAGCAAGCAACCACTTGCATTCAGAGAGTGATTTTCATCTCAGAGTAAATTCAAGACTATAGAAAATGGGCTCAGCTTACACTAGAGGGGGTACACAGCCCTAGAGGTCCTAGCAAGCACTGGAGCTGTGTAAAGTACACTGACAGAGCCCTCTGGTACAGGAGCTGCTACAACATTCCTTACTCAGGGGTAGGAGGAAAGGGGGCACAAACTCATCACTGCGGCAAGACAGCAAAGGTGAGACCTGACTTTCTACATCTTCCCCAGCTGCGATGGAGAGGCTCTTGCTACTGTGCAAGGGCTGCAGAAGTGACCGGCCTGAGTGGGAGGCACAGGGATCTGAACTCCCTACGACCTCACAGCGTGCACAGCCATACTGAGCCCGGGCACAGCCCAGACACATAAACATGGGTATCACTTCACACATCACTGAAGACTGCGTATCTTACCAGGGTGGAAATATAACAGCGTGCAGCCTTTTCAATAATCATCTGAGAACAGGATGTGACAACTACCAAACCAAGCTGAAAGTGAGGAGAACATTTTAAGGAGACAAAATGTAATTATAAAAATTGGAATTCAGCCAGGAAAGCAAATATTTTCTTGTTTATTTTCAGAAGCCAGTAGTTCTGTTTCTGAAACAAGTCACTCATCTTTTGACTAACCTAATGGTCAAGCTACGGCTTTGACCTTCTTCAGAAAGCATCTAAAACAGACCTTACTAATTTTTTAAGTCCTACTGAGAAAGGCCCAGTAAAAAAATAAAGAAAAAATCCAGGACAGAACAATCAAATCATCCAGCAAATCTCTACTTAAGGAGGAACTTCTTCCACCAGCAAAGCATGGAATAGGACTACGCTATTATCTTCTCTTACCACTCTACGAAATTCCTGAGCGATCTCCCATATTGGCCTGAATGAACTACTGGTATTTTCACGACTCTCAAAACACAACTGTTTGGCAATTAAGAGGCATTATTTTAAAATATGCATATGGAAATCAGACAGTGGCCATTTCCCTGCATGTACTATTCTGAGATTCTGACTCTCCCTAGCAGACTATCAAAACAAACGCTTTATTTTTAAAGTTGCGTAGCAGAAGACATTCCGTAAGTATTTTCAGGAATTTTTACATTTCACACTAAACAAAGATCAAATTCAAAAAAGCAACATCAAAACTACCTAAAAAACTGCCACAGTACGTCACATCTTAGATATGCCTCCAATTGCTTGAGACAGATACATAGCAAGGGGTGTTAATCTCACCACATCGTTCATCTTATTTTAGTTACAGTTACCTGTACCTAACCTAAGACAAGTTCTAGTAGGTTCAAGGTATATTACAAAAAATAACAGCTTCAAACTTTCAAAGGCACTTCATAAAGGCACTTTTGCATTTCTTTTTAATTCATTTTTATGTCATTGCAATAAAATACTTCAAATTATATTTCAGTAATCTGAGAATAAAACTTTCCCTCTTAATACTTCGCACTTGGTTCCTCCCCTCTCTCTGATATACGCTCATTTTCCTGTTACAGTAAATACATTTGAATCCCTTTAAAACTTAAATAAAAGGGCAAGGGGCAAAAATCTTCAAGATTAACCTAATTTGTCCCTCAATCTTAAGGTCTATCCCAAAATGGCTACTGACTCAGGAAAAATACACTACTGACCAGCACAGTTTCCACCATCAGCAGTATTACTGAAGTAACTACCTATGATAAGTATCACATTCTGGATTTGCAGGACTCAGCAGAGCTCTGGCTTATGGACATGAACTACAGGACCTCTGCCCAGTGGTTCTAGAAAATCCACTGCAGTAAAACACTAAGTTAGTTTAAACAGAATATGAATTGTCTGCACAGTCCCCATCAACGAACTCCCTGTTTTGTTGGGGTAAGCCAGTGTTTTGTTGGGGTAAGCCAGTGTTTTGATTATGACTTAGAATAAGATGGAAAGATTGAGTGATGTCTTAGCACTCATTTAAAGCTCTCTCTTTACCTGTGCCTCTTCCATCCAATGAACTGGTTCACCCTAAAAATTGCTAAATTTTTGATGAAAACATTTAACTTTTAAAAAAAAAAAATCAGAAAATAATAGGATTTTTTTTTTTAACGTAGCTCATTTTTTCTATGAAAACCAACACAAACCTTAAAAAACACACAAGGGCTTTACTGTAAAGCTGATAGTGCACATAATAATCCCATTTTAACCTTCAAAAATTAACAAGACTGCTGGAGTTTTGAATAGAGCGTATCATTACCAATATTGTTGAAAAAATAATTAAACAGAACAGATGAGCTGCCTAACAACATATTCAATAGAGTGAGCAACTGGATGTCCTGTCCTGTTTATCATAGAAATGCTTTTTCCAGTTGTCATATTAGTCATCTCAGATTTACTGATCAGCAGTGACATTTCTCACCCAGGTGCATTTTTTGTCAAATTTGAAAATCCATACCAACCAGCTACAGAACTCTGCAGACAGGTTTTTCATTGTCTCAGAATATGAGCCTGGAGAACAATTGCTATCATTAAATCAATTGCTGTAGTTACTTTTAGACGTAACTTTACCTACACAATTTATGATCAACTTAGAGTAGATGTGCAAAAGTAGTCCACACAGGCATAGGACAATAACCAGAACATTCCAAAACAGGCCTTTTCTTTTTTTCTTTTTTTTTGACCAATGTGTGGAAACCACAGGAAGAGAAGAAGAAAGTAAACCAAAAAACAAACAAAAACATTCCACACAACACCCTGTATTTATGTTATCAACATTTCAACGGAAATCTTAGAGGGTCAGCTTTCTCCATTAATCAAAACTAGAAGAGATAAACACAGGTAAACCCTTAAAACATTCTTTGAGTTCAAGTGTGTACAAGCCGATTTAATACTTTAAGCTGGTATCAGCAGACTGAATAAATACTGGGTTTTTTCCCCAGTAGAAAAAAGTTCTTCATTCCTTACCTCATCATCTTTATACCAGGACAAGCTTTCTGCAGTTAGAACGAACCAGTATTCCTTGGATCCTCCTTTCATGATGCCAATATTGTTGATGGTCAGCCAGCCTTTCCGGATGACCTGTGCAGAGGTGCAGTCAGGCACAAGTTTAGTTCATTACTCACTTGACATAATTCTGATGCTACATTCATTGTTTTAAATAAAGACTTGCTAAATAAAACAAGAACAGGTGCATTTTTTCAGTCTCTGGCAAATTCAAGAGGTTTTGCAGGTTCCTATCATTCAAGGAAAAAAAAAAAAAGTAACAAAGTAAATATAGTGTTTTCAGTCAAAAGGCTGGAGAAAGAGAGAAGCTTAAGTATTACCATGTTGTACTTACAGCAAGTATGAATGCATTAAGGATTGTGTAAACTTGAAGATATTTATTTGCTGTATAATAACACACTGTAAAAGTCCATGCAACTTTATATACGACTACTCTCTTCTAGTCTAATTGTTAAGGTCATTTGTAAAGTTGGATATTAGGAAAAGCACCTAGATTCTGGCAAAGCGAGTGGCTTCTGGCACACATTGGGAATTTTCAGCATGGGTTGAATCAAGTGACAAAGTGGAGAGGTCCTCTACAGTTAATTTGAAATTAAGATAGGAAGCAGTAAGGAAAGGTATATGAGAGCTATTTTCTCTCATAAAGTAGAAGACAAAAAGAAAAGGGGGGGGGGGGGGAGGAACCTAAGGCAGCAATAAAAATCAGGAGAAAAATGGGTAAAACAGAACTTTATAAAATAGATACAAGCCAAAGATGAAAGAACAAATGGGAACAGCAAACCTGTAAATACTAAGGCCAGGAGGCTATATCATGCAAAGAGAAAGAGAGACAAAAGAAAACTGAATAGGAATAAGACAACTCCAGAGGTGAAGAAGAGAGAACGGTCATGAGAACTGTGGATCATATAGAAACTTTCAATTTTATTGGAACATTTATTGTTTTCCAATACATATATGAGAAAGCAAATGTTCCTTCCTATTATACTCTGAACAAGACAACAGAGCTCTCCTAATCACACAGATGCAGGGAACTTCAGCTGTTCCATTTCTCCCCACAGGAACACCCTTTACTTGCCTATGAAGCATTGAGATGGAAAGAAGTGCTCAGAGAAGCCCTTCAGAACTCCCTCAACAAGTGCCACAAGCACAGATTTGTGTGACTGAACACAAGCGTCCTCTTGCTTTTAGAGAAATAGACGAGACTGTGACATTCCTCTCATAGGGCTTTACAAGACTAGTAACTCCAATATCAACAGATAACCAGAGAAAACAATTGATCAATATCTTTTCCTTGTCATCTATAAAAGTTTCAGAATTGGAATTCACTCCCATTCAGCATGCACGTTCATGTAAGCTCCTTGAAAGAAACAGCTTTGGTATTGCACAGAGCAAGGGACTAAGTTATATTTGATAACCAAACCAAACCAAGAGATCAAAAGTTGCACCTGAAAAGGTGGTAAAAGTATTGGTAATGCACATACTCCAAGACTATCAATTTCATTTCAAATAAGATGATCGTGTTTTCCCACTCACTACCAACCAGGCCAGCAGTGTAAGAAAACAACTGAAGATCCAAAAACAGTCTATGGGTTTTCAGCTTGTAAGAAAATCGCTAAGGAAGCATTGATTTGGTTCTGAAGACTCAGTAAGCTGACAGAGAACTAGACATGACTCCCGTAGAGATACTCACGGGTATACCATGAGCAGACTGGATGGAATAGCCTGTACCACAAAGGTATCTGCAGAAGTTTGTAATTATTTTTAATATTCATGTTCCTTGGGGGGGGTGGGGGGTGGAGAGGGGGCATTACTGACTATAAATAGGCATGGAATGCTTGTTCGAGTGCAAGTTAAGGGAAACGTACTGATACGAACTTGATGACCCATCAATCCTCATTTTATTTTACGAAGTTTATTGAAGTAAACTTTTAACAGGAAACAAACAACATGCATATATAGCCAGTGTACTGGCCTTCAAGCAGCTGCAACAAAACAAGTTGTGGAACCAAGCTAATTTCATTTTTTTTCTGCACTGAACTACACAAACGCAAATGGAAGAAATTTTAGGAAAAATCCAGGAAATTAAGGTTCCCCAACCACTTGAATTTAGCTCCGCAACAAGGTGAGCTATATTTGTACAGCAGACTAAATACTTTACAGCAAATGCGCAAAGGTGGTTATTCCCACGTTATAAAGAAACTGAAATAAGAGGCTCTGAGAGAGGATGCTGTTGAACCATGCTGTCTGCAATTGAAAATGCTCTGTTGCTCCCTATAAAGCACATTATCCACACACCGGAAGCACAAGCAGCCGGGCCAGCATGCTACTGAAAACTGGTTTGGACACACATCCTAGAGAGGGTAAAAGATTTGAAGACAGATGTCACAGTGAGGATAAAGAGGTGGTTTCTAGAAGCAAACCAGTAGCATGTTCAAGAGCCTTACAGGTGACGAGCACTTAAAAAGGAAGGGAACTAGCACACTGCTTGTTCCATTCAGTGCTTTCCCTCATCATTACCATAGGCTTTGTAGCATAAGAGTCAAATTTTCTCAATTTGACAAGAATGCATTTGTGGTAGAGGTCTCAGAACAGACCAAGCCAAGATTTTAATATCTAAACTATACAAGACACTTAAGAAGTTCCCAAGTAAGCTTTTAATACTCATAATGTAGGAACCACATTAGCTGCACAGCTCCAAAAGACTGTCTTGTTCCAGTCCAATGCATCTCCCCATAGATGCATAGCCATCACTGGCTGTGGACAGAAACAAGCTGATGTGCTAATACAAACATTGGTCACTGTCTCGTAAAGGAAGGAATTTGCCAGTTGTTTCCTCAAAAATCCTGTGTGCTGAGGATTAGATCCAGCTGTCATTCCCACACGACACTGCATGAAGAGCACGGCACCAAGCTATAGCAATATCTTGGGTATGTGTTTTTCATGTGCAAATTTCTAGACCTGTTTACCTATACCCCTCTAGGAAAACAGGCTACAGTGTTCTCTAACGTATCCTGGACACTGTGATAGATCATAATTACCCAAAATACTTGGAAGCAGTTCTAGGGGACATCAAGAGAGAGAAGAGCTTAGTGTGCTAAGCCTCATGTTCTTTTCATTGAATTGTTCCCATTTCCCAGGCCCATTTTGTTAACTACCAAAAGCTACACTTTCAAAACACTCAGTACCAGTGTTGGGATCAGGGGGGAGGGAGATATCAGATCAAGGTGTAAGTGCAAAACAAAGTGAGATTAAGCAACACAGTTTTACTTTCCAAAGCAGCTAAATTACACCTCAGACTCCAGCCAATTTCTCAAAAAATAATTCAAGCTATATTTTAGAAATAAATGTCCTTCCATTGGCAATAAGCAGCAAACATTTTCAAAGAGACTTTTGAAGTTAAAAAAACTCTGATGGAAGCGGTTGGTTTTTTTTTTTTTTTAAACTATTGTGTTAGCTATGTTGTATAGTACTTCAGCTTGAAAAATGAAAGTACTGTGCTTCATTATTGTTTTCACTAGTTCATTTTCTGGTTGGTTTGGATTTAAGAGATCCATTTCAATATTTTTCTATCATATTTCTAAATGTCACTCTGTGCAAACCAGATATTAGTGACATGAATTATGAACTTCAGGAAGGTGAAAAATATGGGCATTGCCAGAAGCTAGGGAAGACAATATTCTGACCGGTAGTTGGACTCCATGTACAGGATGAACAAGAGATGACACAGTTCCTTCCTTCAGGGTCCCGATACCTAATCTGGGTGTCTGAAAAATGAAACTTAGAGGGTACGAATGCACATGAACAAGCCAGAAGGAAGTCATTTTCTGATAGCTCAGCTGCGCAAAACCCAAATCATATCTGTTGTTCTTATTCTCCACCACTTCACAGATAAACAGGAAAGCAGGATTTGACACAATAAGTACATTTTATGTATTGCTGCATGACTTACTCATTCCATTAAATCAAATAAGGTATTTGTAAAAGAAATACGTTAGAGAACCAGAAAGTGTTCCATTTCTTTAAAAGAAGTGTTTGAAAGATGATTTCAAGATAAGTGAGAGATAAGTGAAACTGACTTGGCGAACAGAAATACAAGTGTGAAAATCATGATACTGGCTACTTCCACAACAATACAAGCAGCAGCATTTGTTGAGTTAACATAACTCAAAGTTGTGTTACGCAACTCCATTGAAATAATTTTGAACACGCAAGACAACTGCCAGCACTATTCGATCTTCTAATCACTGTCATAACACCATGTGTTACCAAGGAGTAAGCACACTGAGAGAATAAAAATTGCAAAACCTACTCTGTGAGGCATCCTTACAAGCTATTGCTTCTTTAGGTTCAAATATGAAGATTCTCACACTACAGAGGCTAAAAAGGAACAACAGATTAGAGGGGAAACCTAATACAGTATTTCACTGTAATTTGTCAAATGTCAGAGCATAAACTGATCAGATCTGTTCTGACACCGAACAGAACTGAGATCTTGTGACATTGCTTCCCCCAAAATCACTGCACAATATATTGCATAACTTAAAAATAATGACGGTGGCTTAAGTCCTAAACACAGCTCTACTTTAAAGAAAAATTTAGTCTTTACTGAATTAAAGCACTCAGTAGTGAAAAACTGAAACATACTTCCAAATGTAGTTAAACAAAGACTGAGGTGATTAAGTCAATCATGAAGGAATCTTAACCTAAAAATAAGTATAATTAAAGGCCATTTAGAACAGTAATACTTCTTTAGTCTTGATAAGGTGAAAATTCAACAGCAGCATTGTCTCATTAAAGGATATTTCAAAATTTAACACCATGTGGTTGTCCATGCCATCACCACTGGCATTTCTTAACAGAACAGCCTTGTCATGATTTTTCATGACCACTTCACAGACCATAGCATAAGTTTCCATTTCCATCTACTTGCTTAAAAAAATTTTGTAAACACATTTTTTTCCTGGGTCATGCAAGGTAACAGGATTTAAGTATATCTGAAGAAAAGAAAGAGCAAAGTATGCTACAAAGCAGGATTAAAAAGAAAAAAGGGGTTACTAGGGAAAAAGTTACTTATTAGCACTATAGTTCAGGCCAGCTGATGGGGTTGTGCTACTGATGCTACTTGTGTCCAGAACAAGTGAATCAGATTGCTGGTGTAACATTGTAAAAGAGGCAGGTCAAACAAAGCCTTTGAACCCAAACCTCCAAATCACTTGGACAGTGACTTGAAACTCATAGTTCAGATTAAGCCCCTTCTCCACAGCAGCAGATTTTGCCACAGAAGTAAAACACAAAACATATAAGTTATATATAATCCTCTATAATTTGAGTATCTTGCATTCTTACACACAGAGTATCAATTGGGAACATGGAGCGATGACACCTTCATCTTCAAAGGTTTATCATGAAGGGGAGCTTTAAACGGTAAATTTTAGTCACCGAAACAAATCTCAACACACAAAATACACAGTTAAGAGTGGGTCAGCTTTCAGGAACCAGATCGTGCTAGTGTGCTGTGTAAAACCAAGCATTACACTGATTATTTCAAGCAAATTAGAAGACAGACTAACCTGTGGCTTTAAAAAGAAACTTTGTGGAGTCAGGTCAAAACCTCAGGCGGTAGCAAAGAAAAGACAAACAAAAAAGGCCAAAGATTAAGCGTGAGAGGATAAATTAGTAGTAGAGGAAAAAGGAGCAAAAACATGTTAAGAGGAATTGGCATTACACTTCTTCCAAAAATGCAATATTGCTGCACTCATCTTATTTCTGAGATAAACAGAAATAGTCAATAGTTATCTGCATCATTCCAGTTCAAAGCAAGCTACAAAAAAGAAAAGCAATGAATTGCAAATGAGCATCCCACTATTTTGGGAAGGCTTAATGATCTTGTTCTCCCAAGAGATTCAATTCAACTGCTGTTAGAATCAGTGCTGCCTAGTCCTTTTTCCTTTATTGAACATAAGTTTAGTTTAAGTTTGTTTGAAATGATAACTAATATAATTTGATGATGTGGCAACAAACTGGAAAACGTATGTGTTTTCATCATACATATTACCAAAGAATGCACACGACACAGAGATTTAATTCTTACACCTAACCATCACTAAACCAGGAGTAACTTGTTATAAAATTAACTGCTGTTTAGACAATTAATTCTAATTAGTAATATTAAAGGCATTCACATATTTATTTACTCATGAGGTGGAAGGGTTAGAAAAGAGTCTGTCCATTCTATATTGATCCTCCTGGTGCTATGAAAAGAATGCTAAAAAGGCTTTAAATATTTCTAAGTTTATTAATAAAACTCATTTTTTCTATCAGAAGTAATTCCTTTACATAAACAAAATAGCAAGAACAGTACCTGTACACATAAACAGCATGTTCATTTACGCAAGAGCTAATGTTTCCTTTCGGTTACCAGAAACTTATTTGCCCACCTTTCAAAAAGAGGTTTACTATGAATAGAGGCACTTACATCAGATAAAAACTGCTTTCCAGTTATATAATAAAATAAACACCAATTAGTCATGTTAGTTTGAGAAACTCAGTAAATTATAAAAATATTAATTTTATTCAGTTTTCTACAGCATTTTAAGTTATATTAATTCATACTTGTAACAGCAGGTTAGTAGCAGTTAAGTGATGAACTGCAATTATCCTTTGTTGAGGAAGTGTTACAGACAAAACAGTTTAACATTAAATAGTTTAGTAGCAAGTATTCAACAAACCAATGAGTTAGAGACAAACTTTGCCCTCTGAGAAGCTAAATGAAAAAGCAACAATAAAGCTTACAGAACTTAGCTCGTACAATTTGCCTTGAAGGCGGTAGATTGGTTCCCTGAAATAGCAAATTGCAAAAATGAAGTTTTATTTCAGAAACATTTTCTCATTCTTTTCAACTCCAAAACAATTAACTTAAACATCTGTTTATTATCTTTAAAATAAAAGGTTCAGCAAAGTCCTTTGTACCAAAAGTAATCAGGTTTCAACATTTAATTTAAAATGCCAAGCTTTTTCTCCACTTCTTTAGAGAGAGAACATTCACTTAATTAAAAAATCATTCATTTTGTTTGTGTATTTTTGAAGAGTCAGATAATTGGTTGATTTTCCTTTTATGGGACACTCCAAAGTGATGACGGTTGTTGTGTTTGACACATGTTCTGGCACAGCTAGATAAGAAGGAAATCTCTCCTCAGAGGGGAGAGAATAGTCTTTGAAGCCATTTCAGTGTTTAGACCTTTCAACTTTTTTCATCTTAGTCCTAACCATAAATTACATCAAAGATGCCACTCATGGTGGTCAGGCCGTGGGCGACCATCACATCCAAGACATTAATGAATTATTTTAACTAACATCTCAAAAATAACCAGCAATTTCTTGGTGGGAGGAAGAGGTTGGATGTCTATCCTCCAAAAGATGACTAAGTTTTCAAAAAATGCTAGAACTCTCATCTACAACAGCAGAAGAGGAGACTTTCTGAAATGTCAAGTTTATCACCTGAGGGATCCAAATTCAGTGGTCACATTTGAAAACCTTGACCTTTCACGTCCTGAGCATTGTTTGACCAAATTGTACATGAAAACATCAGGAAGACACTCAATATTGGTAATTATTTATACAAAATTTCATTGTCTTATTTTTACTAGAATTTTTTATTTCTTTTTAAAGTATGTACTAATTCCATAACATTCTCTTTCTGCTTAAGACTTTGCAAAACCCTCAAAGTGAGCAGAAACCTCCAAAGTTGTAGCATTTTCATTATTTTCATCTCATATAAAAAAGAGGACTGATCCTGTGAAGTACTGAGCACCCCTGGCCCACACAAAAGCAAAGAAAGAAGCACAGCTCAGGAGCACTTAGCATCTTGCAGAATTAATCCCATATTCTTGTGTGATAAAAAGAAACAAATGAGTAATTTCATTAATGAATCTCAGTGAAAATGCTAATTAATCTGAGACCATCAACCAGTTATTCTTTGTTTATTTTGAGAGAGGCCTATGGTACATAGTCAACATCTTTGTGAAGTCAACTGAAAGTTTTCAGAAGAGGTAAAGGCAAATTCAGTTTTGCTTGCAGAATTACCCCTTCACTGCTGTTAAGCTGTGAACACGTAAGAACTAGGAAAACAACTATGACAAAGCACACACAAGCAAGTACTCACCAGCATTTTGGATTCTGAAATTCACAAGTTCGCAGTTAATGACAAAATACATTGATGTGTAACGTGAAAGGTTCAATGCACTAAACAGCATGGGAGGGGAGACACTAACCAGCAGTGCAAGCAGTAGCAGAAATATTAAACAACAAATGACAATAACAATGAAAGTCAGGTGGCTCTGAAAAATCCAGTAAAACAAGGTGATGATGACGCATTCTATATATGTTTGAAGCAGAAAAGGTAAATGATACACTTACAGCAAATAAATGCAGCCAAGAAAACCAAACAGCTTGGATTAACTTGCACATGCCATTATCCATTCTCTGTTAGGTGCCTACCTGATTTCCCACTGCACTTTTGTTAACCTGACTGCTTCTTTGTTGGGCACTAAGGGAAGCAGAGGAAGAGAGTTATACTGAAGAAACTCGAACTAAGCCAGTTCCTGAGGAACAGATTTTAGCAGTAACAGTTACTTCTGATTCCAGCACAGAAAGCTAGAGTAACAAAGAAACACAGCAAAATCATTGCATGTATGTGCACATTTCAACTACTTTTTCTTACAGTATAGGAATGCCTGCTTAGGACAGAAGGGACATGCACGGCAGACAGCTCCTACTAATCACCTCCTTTGTAACAACATCCTACTTGGATTGGTAAAGGTTACTAAAAGCACAGAGAAATTATGGTTCATGTGGGTAACTTTGGAAACATTAGCCTCTATAAATATTCAAAAAGAGACAAAAAGCAAGCCATTTCTGTTATTTAGCACAGTACAACAAATCCTTCCCTGCTGGAGGCTCCTTAATAGCTTTGTCTTGACAGTTTGTTTTGGATATTATTCTAATATTTATATGCACTTTGAGGGTGTAAATATAACCAACGGATGAAGCCATCGCAAAGCTGGTTCAAAAAGCTGGAATCATACAAGAATAGAGCATATTTAAAATTAAACCATATTTAAAATAGTTTGCCCAATTCTTGAACTCTAGTAATCCCAGTTCCCGAAATAAAACACACTCCTGTCTCAAAAACATACAAGTTGCCATTAATTCTAAAAGCATTTACATTATGTGGTGGTTTGTAAGTGTTAGGTCACAAAATTAAAATATTGCTGGAAAGAGGAAGAAAAGCATTCAGAGAGCAGGCTTTGGCTACTCAACCACCAGAGTGGCCACTGGTGATAGGAAGTTTTGTTTGGATTAGATTATACCATTTCACCAGGCATTGATTAACTGAAGAAAAAAGCATACATATTAGATCAGCTACAAACGCTGCTCTGAAAGAGTAAGAAAGAAAGATGTGCTTGGATCCCAGCCTATGGGCCAATCCTGCAACTGTTTTGTGCACAGCTGGTGTTCCAAAGAATTGCTGAAGCACCAAACTCAGCCCCATCCCAACTCTGATCCTGCGCTTCAGAGCATACTCTATCAAACCAGGAGGCCACATGCTGTCTGTGAGAAGATCCACAAGGATGTTTATTCCACATGCCTATTTACTGGACATAGCTCTCAATCATCCAGATCCTTTTGACCAAATAGCACTGCACGTCCCTGTTGCATCGTCTGAGTTGCATAAGCTTTGGTGCCTAAATTATGATTAAATAACGTGCATGCAGAAAACACAGCACTAACACCTCACCAATTCTGATCGGTTGTTTGAGAAACATACATGAGATGGCTTTAGGAAACCTAATTACCATTCTTTCAGTTTGGTTTTGTTTTGGTTTTTGTTTGTTTGTTTTTTTTTTTTTATTTTTTTTTTAAATTTTATTTCATTTTGTCTCCTTAGGAAAGCTAAATAGATGACTAACATCATACTAAGAAACCCAAAGGCTAAGAAGCCTTTTAGAAATAGCCCAGCAACTGGTCCTCTATTTATTGTTCTAAATACAGATTACTCTTTATGTAGACTGAAGCATGTAGCTACGTCTGAGTTACATCAACTGGAAACAAACCCAATTCCAACATTTTACCATTTGTTCTGCTAAATGAGGCAAACATTAATATTCTAAGATTTCACACTTTCATAACTATGCAAAGTTGTTCTAAATATTGGCATTCTTAAATCCTTCTCAATTCAATTCACATTGCACTATACCTGCCTGAGGCCCTGCAAAGCTGCAAGGTAGTTTGAAATGTCTTGTGCTCTCATTCTTATGAGCAAGGTTCACAGCACTTACTCCTATAAAACACTGCAGTCACATGAGACGACTGGCTAGAAGACTCAGCAAAAGAAAGGAAACACTAGGGAATCTGGGGAATCTATAGTCCAGGATGTTCAGATACTGCAGAAGCCCATATGCTACCCAAAAATTATTTCATTTTCCAGTTCTAACATAATTGCTATAACAATAATACAATTATAGTTTAAAATGTGTATTTTCTACTGTTTAGCTCATAAATTAATGTATTTTACATTTTAATTTTTTCTTAGTTATCCAAGTTTTCTCTTCCAGCTGAGCACAAGTCAACAAGGATACTTCCCTTCCCATCAGTTTCAACCTATAGAAACACTTCCTTAAACTTATCAGTGAACTTAAGCAAAGAGCCATTTGTTATCTGCTTATACCCCATGCACAGCAGCTGGTGATTACTAGATCTCAACCAGCAAGAGAGGAAGCAGCTTTCCCAAGAAACTGAACTTGGACATTGCAATTCCTTGGAAAAGACGCAGCAGTGAGGACCACAGACTGAACCACAGGCCCCAGCGGCAGCATCCATGAGGGGGATTTTTCCAGGGGAGAGACATAATGAAATCACTCCAGATATACCTGGCACTGCAGAATCCAAGACTATAAAACATGGAAGGTTCCAACTTGACACAAGGAAAAAATTTTTTCACAGTGAGGAGAGGCAAGCATTGGAACAGGCTGCACAGAGAGGCTGGAGAATGTCCGATTTTGAAAGTTTTCCAGATCTAATTGGACAAAGCCCTGAGTAACCTGGTCTGAACTCAGCATTGACCCTCCTCTGAGCAGGAGGTTGGACTATGTGACTTCCCAAGGTCACAACACACACCATGAATATATAAGGAGTGTTTTTAGCAGGCTTTTTCCTGTCAGAAAAGGATGAAGAGAAGTAAATAGCAGGCAGGTTGTTATCTTGACCTCTAGAAGGCCAGCTACCATTTGTACAACATCCTGTCATTCGTCAAGAGAACTGATAAAGATATCTAGGACCTGCAAACAATTCTAGAGAAAGTTGCTCAAACCAAGCACATAAACAGTGCCTGGCTTTGCCTTCTCCCCTCTCAGCTTACTGAACTCCATGTTTTAAACCTTCAAGGCATACTGCCAAAGATGTAGACCTTCCTTCACAGTGCTAACTAGAATAGGCAATAGTATAATACGCACTGTGGTGCCAAACTTTGTTGCCAGCATCCCACATGGATGAAACCAGTTGTGATTCCAAACACTGTTATGGCAAATATGGCATGAATATGACTGAAGGAACATTTATTCTTCAAAGAGTGAAGACATCTTTAATGTTTTTACTAGTGTCAAAATGTTGGTATGAAGTCCCTGAGGCACAAATTGCTGGAAGCTGAGGGAGAACATTCTGGAGAATATTCTCACAGCCTTCTCAATTAAGCGAGGAGAACGTCAAACCAGGCCCTGCAGGGCATTCTGCTACTATTATTCTCTACAGCCAAACAGCAGGCACACTTATAATTCAGTGACATCCATTACTCTGAGCAAAACTGTTTCACACGGAATCACAGCTTCCAAAATATGCATTAGTAACAATGTGGAAAGACCACCAATATTATACATTTCTGTGGTGCTAAAATGGATACAGTGAGGGCATCGGCTTGCCAAAGCTGCTTCCTGAGATGTGTGTGATTCCAGACCAAGACGTAAGCTTCAGCTTCAGTGAAACCAGGCTTGTGAACTGGGGTAAAGAATCCCCTACAAGTGGGACAGAGTTCAACATTGTGTATATTGAGAAAGAGCACGCTCCTGCATGTTTGGGACTTTGCAGCTTGTATCTTCACTGTCACACTTCAGGACTTGTGTTTTGAACTCAGTAAAAACAAAACAAAACAAAACAACTGACAGTGTCTTTATAACAAAGTGTGTATATACGTACTTTGCAAAGCCAATGAAGTCTTCGTGATTGGTGTTGATGTAAGAAACCTGGATATCAATCAGCAGCAGCACCTATTAGGGGAAACAGGAGAGCAAAAAAAGGATGGGTAAGGTAGAGGAGAGAGATTGAGAAAAAGGAAGGGAGAAAAAACCAGAACTTTTGAATTTTCTGCATTATTGAATATTGTTTTCATAATCATTCAAGCCAAAATGAACAATATTTTCTAAATCCCACCACTTCTGTTCATGTGCTTTTTTAATAAGCTAGACTACAGAAGAGCTATTCCCTCTTCCTATTTTTTTCCTGACAGACCTCATTTTTCACTATCTTGGCCCTTGTCCACTTCATTAAGATCAATGATACATGGCCAGAGATAGTTTAATAATATATAACATGGATTCTAGCTCTACGTTTTGCAAGTTAAGCAAAATTCTGTCTATTTGTAGTATTCCAGCCAAGTCAACAAGGAACCTGAACATTAAACTTAAAATCATATTTTCTTTAGGTACTACACAAAGAAGTGATAGGTAAGCTAGCCCTGGCCCAGAAGTACAGTCCAGGTACTAGATAGCCATTCTGGTGCACACATCTGGCTTGAGAGATGGGCTAGTCAATGAAATAACAGAATGAATGGTTTGTGTACTTATCACCTGCCAGTCCTTCAATAGCCCAGAGACAGAATTTGATTTGAACTTGACAATCTAACTCGGCAAAGAACTTGCTAAGATATTGGAGAAAGCTCAGTCCCACCTTTGAACAGCTGCTTGAGCATGCATGAGACTGCACTTTCCCCACCCATCTTTTCAGACTTCCATTTATCAGCAGGGAGCAAGGAAGAAACCTATTGCTACCAAATGGTAGCATTTAATCTCTTCAAAGTGTACAGAGTTATTTCCGTACAGCTCCTGAAACACAGCATCACTCCCAAATTCTTCACAATTTCCCGAAGATATTAGGTGTCTCACTCAGAGCAAAAGATACTGGGGATTTGGGTCTACCTCTTACCTCTGAAAATATCCTCACTAGTATTTTGATTTATTAACGATACCTGCTAACAGCATAAATAATGATGTGAATATGTGACAATAACCTATTTGACCAATTCTTGGCATTTACAGAAAGCTGGTATTTTGTACTTTGTTCTGGGAAATGGCCAGGTATGTGCACACAATGAAGAATGGAATAATAAGAAAAAAATACTCAATTATTCTAAGTGACTTGTATCTTCTTCCAGATTTTGAAATAACTGAGTGTGCTAACTAGAACTCCCTGAAGGTAAAAGGCCAGAAAATACAATTTTTTGAAAATTATTCTTAAGACTACATTCACAGCACAGATTAAAGGAAAAGAAGCAGGACATGCTGCACAGCTCCCTAGCTCGCATAGGGACAGGACTAGAGAGCCAGGAGACCAGAACAACTTAGGAGCTCTGCCTAACCCTTCTTCCCCAAATATTTCTGTTGTCACACTCTGCACTCTCCAGACAGTAAATTCCTGTTTCCACTTCCAGTGGATTTTCTCACATGTAATCTAAGCTTTGAAGTTTCCTGGACTTGGAGTGCTTAGCTGGGTGATGAATGTTCTAAACAAGTTTCTCTGAATTTTGGGGTTTTTTTTAAACTTTTTTAAAACTTGAAGGAAAGCTTGTGACTCCCACAAGAGTCTCAGTAAAATTGCTTGTGGGCCTCACTGTAATTAGAACATGGGATGAGTATGTTAAAAAAACCTGGAAACAAAGTAGAAAAAAGGCTAGATATTTCTGCGTGCTTTTGTTTAATCATTAATTGATTTCCCACAAAGAGCTGTTGTGGCAGTTAGGAAGATGGGCACACTGTGGCACCAGAACAAGCCAACACTATTTTAAGCCACAATCATAATCTCGAAAGACCAGGTTAGCATTTTCTGTAACAATTCTAGTCTCCTCTGTGAAACCTCAATGGTAGAGGAGCAATTTCTCTCCCCCTCTAAAATGTGCAGCCTGCTGCGGAGGGGAAGAAAAATCCTTCATTGTCTTACTGTACTTTGTACATAAGAACTTTCCTCCTTCACACACTTCCCCAAACTGTTAGATCTCCTACTTGTTCTCACCTGATCCTTAGTCTTCTCTTCTCTTTCACGAATGTAGCCGGCAACAATTCTTTCTGTTTCCTCACACAACCTTGGATATGTTGCCAACTGAAAAGCAAAATTAATAGAAATTTACACCTGAGGGTGGCTTCAGTGGAATACAAACAGGGGAGCCTCCAGCTTTCCTCTTTGGAAGAAAGCAATTATTATAAATGCTTGGGCTAAATGTTAACTACATTACAAAGTAAGCCTTACTTGCTATTAATGGTCATTTTCCAGAGAAACTGGAGAGGCCTAAACCCTTGGATTATTTCTGTGCTTTTGCTCCATGGAACATTGAGGAAAAGACACTTTGGACATGTGAACCACAGTTTATCAGCCTTGGGGTGAGGTTTCTCCATGCCTCTCTCTTCTACTGTGCCTAATTCCAGAGTGGCGCTTTAAATAATTTCCAAGTTTCTTGTTCTTTGAAGGCTCCACCTTGTGGCAACATCTTTATATCTCAATAACAATACTTAAAAATGTAACCAGCAAAACACAACAGTAAACTTGGCCAATAGCACTGGGAAAAGAACCTGCACAATTAATTCAAGTGACATATCTTCCAAATTTTGACAAAAGTGAAAAAAAACCTGGAAACTCTGCTCAAAACATTGCAGTAAATCTGCTTCTCTATGGTCTTTGCCAAAAAGATTGTCACCCTTTCCTGTTTTAAGAAATAGCTCCTTTACCTGCTCATTGGTACAAAAATAATTGCATTAACCAGAAAAATGCAAAGGACGTGACAGGATATTTCTCAATAACTTCAGCATACCTGTGCTCACATGCCAGAACCGCTCCTGTACTTGCTACTATTAGGGTACCCTGCACTCTGAGATGGTGGGAAAGACAGATGAACAGAAGGTGAGACAATAAAAGTAGCCAGTTAGCTAAGAAGTCTACAAGAGTCAATGCGATCTTGTAGAATATCACAGAGAAATGGGAGAAAAGACAACAGAAATTCAGCAACTGCTAGTTGTCAATGCTCCAGACAAGTGAGTTGCAGTATTTACAGATGACAACTTTCCTATGAAGGTGAAAAGTGTGAGAAAAAAAAGCTTCACATTAATACATCTGACATGCTTCCTTAGCCACACCTGGGGGTGTGGTGTGAAGTTTGAGGTTTCATTCTAAGAGTTTACACTAACCCAAGCACACATTTCAGGAAAAAAATTCCCAAATACACATAGAAACTCATAGTAATGCTATGTTTAGTTTTAATGAACGTATTTCTTAATTTATTATACTTGCAGGATCTTAAGTTAAAAGTTTAATTGACACACACAGCTTTCACATCAGGAAGTTCAATGCTCAGCAGTTCTTTCCACTTACATCTTCAACATTTCTGTACAGCAAGCTTATTCGTCAACACTAATGCAAGGATGTACAAATGCAAGGGAGATAAAGTCTTCCTAGCTTTCCACTTCTAACTTCTTGAGAGCTGAAGATCAGACATTTTGGGGTTGTGTATGAAAAAAAGCACAGGAGAAGCTGTGGACCCCTTACATTGCAAAGAACTGTGGTGCTACCTAGTACAGCTTCAATATAGAAAGACCATTTTTCTCTCTTTGATAGATGTCTGAACACATTTGAGGCCTTTGTTGTAGAAAAGTTTCACTGTTTCTTCCTCTTATTAGCATTGGAAAAGAAAACTTTAAAGTACAATTTTGTTTGCTGATTTACACATCCATGGAATTGCTGCCTACGTTCCATTTTCAGTACCAATGAAAACATGGTTTTAAAGAGGAAACTGAGGGCAACTCTTGATTCAAAAACACCCTCCAATCATAAGGTGTGTATATATATATATATATTCAAAACACAAGAATCAAAAAATGAACATTTCCAGCATTACATTGTTTTGAGCGTTTTCTAAAGTAATTACAACTTCTGCAGAGTCTTACTCTGTACATCAGGTGAGTAGATCAGAAATCTCTTACAGTACCGTAAAATGCAAGACAAGCTTTATATTATCTACTATACCATTACATTATACTTACATTACCAGATCTATATGCAAGTTACCTTTTTAGTGCACTTCTTGACAGTGTTGATTAACTCTTGCATCACCAGATCCACACTTTTTAAGCAAGGTCCTTTCAGCTTGACTATCTGCTTTTTAACAATGGCTTCAAACGCCATATCTGGAGTAAACAAACCTGTTCTGTGGACATAAAAGCATATGTAAGACAGTAATAAAAACATCATGCAAGGAAGATTTTTTTACTGAATTGCTCATATCTTCATTTTCAGAGGCTTACAGCTGAGTAATAACAAACCCTACACAAACAATTTCCACAGAACTAAATTTGCTCCTTTCTCTAAAAAACAGCGTTATTATGAGAATATAAAAGTAGAAACATGCCCTACTAGAAGATGATTGCGAGAACTCTAAAGAGTACTGACATAATGCAGTAAGGCCTCTTCAGCAGTGCATCAAACCTTAGAGAAAGGATGAGTGGCAGCTGCAGTACTCCATACACAATCACTTGCATAGCAAACCCGTAAGTATCCTATAGCTGCAGTTTTCTATTCACTCACAAGACGAAATGTGGTTCTGTTACTCAGTCTTATATGGAGAATTTCACAGTTGGTCACTGCAGGGTATATGAACCTATATAACAGATACCTCACAGGACCAGTTCTAAACAAATAGGCCTTACTTCTCTTTCAAACACTGCTTGCAAAGGTCTATCCTGGCAGATAAATTATATAAAAAAGCAAACTATAAAACCATGCCCAAAACTATCAGTTCACTATCATAAATTGCTCATCAAGACCTTCCCATCAAAAAGGCCAGAAAAGTTCAAATACTGCACCACAGCTACTAGAGTCAACCATTTGTGAATCTACTATACGAGTAACACAAAGAACATTTTCCAAAACACTAAGAGCAACAAAGTTTGTAAGCAATGCTTTCGAAACATATTACATACTCAAAAGTACATAGGAGGAGGGGAAGGACACCCCCCCCCAAAAAAAAAAACCAAACCAAAACCACAAACCAAAACCCACCAAACCAACAAACCAACAAAAAAACCAAACCCAAACAAACCCACAAAAGAAGAACCCAAGCTTTTTGGAATCTGTTCTATTGTCAAAAGAACAAAAAATGGGTAGGCATCTGATAAAGTGTCCCTCCAAAACAGACTGATCATTCCAAAGTGAGATAATTAGGTCATTCCAAACCAAAAACCCGAATACCTTCTCTTCCCAAACCTAATAATATACTGCAGACACATCCACAAAGTGGAACGTCAGCCATCAGGCACTGATGAAATCAGGCATTTCAAGAAACAGTTTAGAATAAAGGGGAGTAACATAGTGCAAGGAGTCTGCCACAACACAAGCTGAAAGGTTTTTCTCCATATCAAGACACAAGTTTTCCCTCTAAAACTTACAACTTTTCAGGAATACAGGCTTAACAGAACTGCAGACACTACAAGAAAAAAAGTCATGTATTTTCTCTGTAAAATAATTTTCCAGCATTTCGAGATAAATTAAACGTCTTTGGGCAAACCAACTGTTTGGCCCAAAACAGCTACCTGAAAAACAGAAGTGTAAAGGATTGCAACAAAAAAAGTCAGCTGCTGGGAGCAGGGCATTAGTAACGTAGTCTAGCAGCCAATAGCCAATGTGTCCACAGGTTAAAAAGACCACACCCTCTATAATGTGACTGGGCTTGAAAACATGGGAGCACTTGCCTGATACCATGTATGTTCTTGATGGCGTAACTTATTTCTCTCCGCAGTTCCTTCTCATTGAATTCCATCTAGAGGAACAAGACCATACGAGATCATATTAGGGCAAGTTTTCAATAAAGCAGAAAATATTACCTTTCCCAATATAACTGGAAGCCAGGCAGTTCAACTGGCAAAATATTAATTTCTAATTGTGCTAAACAAAGCGTAAGTATTTTAAAACATTTTAACACTAAGGCTACAGTCAGCAGTAAGGATTGTTGAAAATTATGCACCCTTCCATTCCAGATATACTAACAGCTGGAAGAATTTTGCAGAGTTGATAGAGTAAGCCAGAAACAGGATTTGGAAGATGCAACTTTTTTTTTTTAAGCCTGGTTTCCTAAAGTGGTGCAACTTCTGTGATTATGGTCTGTTGATCCTCCCCTTCCCATTCTACTGTTTTTCAACCAAATTTAAGAGAGGAGTGGTCTCAGTTATGAAGTTATAAAGCTTTTCTTTAAGTTTCTTGAAAGCCAGCTAGCTGCAAGACAAGTTAGTGTTGTCACAAACTAAAGGGTCATTACCTAAGCCCAACTGTCATCTGTTCTGTTGAACTGCTAGTTGACCTACCACATTTAAACCTTGGAACCAGCCACAACCCTGTCTGGTTCTCACCCAACTGAAAGTTAGGGGATGTCAAGGCAATTGAACATAAAACAGGTGGAAAGGAAGCTTAGGAAAAGTGTAAAAGAATGGGGACTAGAGACACGGCAAAGTTCATGGTGAAGCGAAGCTGAAGTCACTGCAGTGAAAGAAAAAAATCAAAGAATATATAACACAAATTCATAGGAAACCAGGTTTCGTTAGTTTACACCCCACTGGATCTCCATTTATTCTGTTACCCAAAGGATGGGTAAGCAAGAAGAGATGTATCAAGAGGAGAAATGTTATCTCGAAACACCAAATGTGCTTCTGCTCCACCTCCCACTATGAAAGCGTAGGACCGAAAGTCGGCTTTGGTTTAATGCATTGAATACAGGAAGCAGAAAACACAGAATATGGCTATTTTCCATAAATCTAATTTTAATAGGTACTAGCTACTTGAACACAACTTAAATTTACCAACTGTAGTTGTTTGCCTGCCCCATCTAACCAGAAGGAAGATGCCATTTGTGATAAAACAATAAAAAAAAAAAAAAAATCACAGAGAATAGTAAGAACTGGAACTATAATTATATTCTAATTCCTATATTTCAGAATTTTTAGCATGTCTCAGTATCCAAAACTAGAAATGAAGCCAAATGTCTCAGTTATAACTTCATGTAATTTCTTCCACAGTTAAGAGCATGTTCTTCCAATCAGACCTTATCTTGGCTTTACTACTATCAGTATGAACATAAGAATACATAAGTAAAACACAAAGCACACCAGCAAGATGGATAAATACCTTCACTAGTTCAAAAGGAAAACGTTCATGGAAAATACGATTGATTTTGGCACCTCCTGAAAGTTCTAGTGTATCAACCTGATCTCCTGATCCTTCGATTCTTTTTTCAAAGTCCACTGAAAACTGTTGTACCATCCTAAATTTCAAAGGAGGGGAGAAAAAAAACCAAACACAACCATTTAAGCATGTCAACTACCAACTCTTTCTTCAGTACTATGTGACTACTAGTGCCTATTAAAACATGTTTAGGAATTGACAAAGGTATCTACAACAACAATTCATTCAGCCAAGCTGCCAATACATAAAATCCATATCTACACCACCCCCCCTTCTCTCTCACAGGACATAGCTCATTATGTTATTTTCTTTCTTCATAAACATTGTATTTAAAAAAAGAATACTGCTTATTAAACTGTATATTGAAGTCAGCTACAAATACAGCAGGGTACCAGGCTACATTCATGTTTTGTCAATGATCACAAAATTGTAAATGCTACCGTTATTTATTACATAAATTTTTAATTTTTTTTTTTTTTAGGAGAAGAGAAAGTAATAAGCGTGTTTTTAGTAGGATAAGCAAATAAAAGTCCTGACATTTAAGTTATAATACTTACTGTATTTGAATAGAAAAGCACATCCATATTTAGATGCTGTTACAGAAACTGCAGAGCTCAACAAGGCAGACCACCACAAGCAAAAATCTCCAATCTTACGGCAAAAGGTATCATTTGTGGAGAGCTTACTTCTCCACAATGACCCTTTGATCTTTCTAATATCTTTCAAAAACATACAGTCCAATAGCATGACGTGAATCAAGCCACTAAGCTGATCCAGTGCGGGAAAACTTGGAAGAGATTGCTAAGGAACTTACTTTCCCATGCCAAAAAGCTAGCCCAAGAAGCAGTACTAACACGTCAACGTAGCCACTGCCAGTACCAGGCCAGGGTTCTAGTTATGTTACTGTCCACACCCCAAAAGAGAAAGGGAAAGTGAGGATAATTTTTTCTGACAAAAGAAGTTAATTTCTCCTATAGCACCTACTTACAATGATGGAATTAGAAAAAAACTATGCAGGGAAGCATCAAGTAAAATGACTTAGGCTGAAATGGAATTGAATTCTTTTTCCTTTAGAAGATGTTACAATACTAGAACAAGCATGAGATACCAGCAACACCTAACAATTCATATATGTGTTTCTAGCAGTTGTCACCAAATAGTGATAAAAACCACCTGTCTTATACTGTCATGGAAGAGTCAAAGGTGATGTCCCTCTGTTTTTTGCAACGAAAACATCTGAAGTTAAGTCATGAGGGACAGACTTATGTCTACTCTTTTGGACACTGTTGTTACAAAAACAAGGAGTAAACCAGTGTCTTCAGCTGGCTCAAGAAAGCCTCCCTAGTTCAGGTGACCATTTTCCCTTCTGAATTCCAGACTTTTAATTAGAGAATGAATCCTGCCCAAAACTTATGCATTTTCACAATCCAGTGCTATTACCATCTATCCCAGAGAACCGAGAAGGCTGAAAACCTTTGAAATCAGTCAGAGTAGGAATGTGACAACACTCATTTAAGAGAGAAGAGCTAGATATATTTGACATCTCTCTTTTTCTTCCTTTAGATGCTTCCTCTTCTAAGAGGTAAATTTTAACTGCATATGAACATAGAAGTGGCTGCAGAGGGCCAAAATGATGGGGGGGAAGAATGGCAGACCTTTCAGGTGAAAAGGTACACAATATTGAGTATCAAGCACACCTGGAAACAGACTAAGTAAGGAAGCTGCATGAAGCAAAGCAGCAGGTGCTAACTGGGCTTCAATCCAAAACATCAGCATGGCCCTTTTTCCTTAGTGCTAAAACCACAATACAGTAAGGGCTCTGATCCCACTTCCACTTGATTCAAAGTCAGATGAACAGTCATCTCTGTTCCATCACTTTACAACAGTGCTATCAAAGTCTCGTCAGACAGACTTATTTTGTGGATGAGATGCAAACTGGACAGTGACTTCAGCAGTGAAACAGCTTTCTAGTTTGGAACTTATGATAGTAATGTAGCTCCAGAAATCGTTGCAATTCCTCTGACAAACCACAGTATTCAATCCATGACTTCTTGAGATCAAAAAGGTCAACATCTGCCAGGTCAGTTTTAACACAAGCACAGGTGGCACATCACATCACCTATTTTGCTGCTATTTGTCAGATGTGTGCTCAGAGAGGCAAACGGCAAGAAAGAGGTTTTCACCCACCCCAATACACTATCACTTGAATATAAGAATGGCTGCACTACAGCAGAACAATAGCCATATCATGACAGTCACCAACAATAAGTGCCTAGGAGAACAGAGCAAGCACACAGTAATATTTCTCCAGAACACTCTCTTGGCCTCAATAAATTGCTGTTCGTGGGTTTAGCAGGAATTTGTCCTTGTACTTACTACCCTTAAATGTCTTCCCCATTCCCAAGAATTTGCCTAGTTGCTTTCTGAAAGCACACAAATTTTTAGTATCAGCTCCTGCAGCAAAGAGCTCTGTGGCTTAGGTGCACATCACGTGAAGGACTACCATCTATGATTACTTTTGATCTTGCCATCTTTGACATCTTTTGGATAGTCAAGTTTTTATATTGGAAAAAGAAGCATCCCCTCTTCTCCTTTCAGACTTCTCATCTTACAGACTTCTAACACAATCTCCTCCCCTTGCTTGAGGTCATCTTTTTGGCAGGCAGAAGAATGTGTCTGTACAATCGGAAGCAGTTTCTTACCTTCAATCATCTATGCTGCCCATCTTTGTACCTTTTCCTGTTCTGCTTTCTCTCTTTTCTAGGATTACTAAAATTAATTTAGGGAAAATCTTGCTGAAATTGTAGAGTAAATAAAGTGTTCTGGAACATCCAAAGCACAGAATTCTTTGGAGTTTGCATATAGAATCCTTAACCATATCCTAATCTTTACATTTAAACCCATTAGAAAGAAAGAAAGAAAAAAAAAAAAGGCAAACCAAACCTATACAAAGTGGAAAAGCAGACAAAAGACTAGACACTCACTGCAACAGGGCTTTCGTTTTTCTGGTTGGATCTTCTGGTCTGAAGTTTTTGTATACCTCTACTTCATGTTCTATAGAAAGCAGCTGGCTCTGGAGTTTGCTTCTGAAGGCTGGCAGGGTATCCCGAATATGATTGGTAAGTTGCTAAAAACCAAATAAAAGTCCTTTTATACTGTTAATAAAGATGAAAGCAAGAGCACAACCATTTCCTTCTGACTGCCGAGCATATCAGCCATGACCTGTGCTAGTTTACCAGTGTAGTTCCTTTTGATCTTTGAAGCAATGGAGACTGTTAAAGAACAATAGAATATCCCTTTCACATACACATTATAAGGAGGCTTGAAAAATTCCTTCATCCTCTCACTCACTGAGCCCTGTTACTACATACTTGTTTTGTAACACACAAAAAAAGTTATACACATTACCTATTTAATTTGAAATGATCTCTCATCACGCAGCACTGATGCCACCACTCCCATTTTGCTGGTTTTCCTAAGGGAGTTTCCCCAATTCCCTATATACTTGTTCAGCATGATGACTCCTTTACTTTACAGCCACAAGGCAATGTGGGACAAGGAAGAGATTCCGAGCATCCACAGCCCATTAAGAACAGACATGGAAGAAAGTATAGACGTACGCAGTACCTGCTTGGCATTCTCCCACCATTGGGAAAAATCGCCTCCATGTGACTTCTGCTCCCTTGTACAAAGTATACTAAAGAGAAGAGATTTTGCCCTCATATTTATGAGCTTTACCTTTTTTAAACACTTGATTTTTGGCTGAAAAAGGTTCTACCACTCAAGACTATCAGTTTTCACTTCTGAAAATATACCTAAAAGTACTGGAAAATAAACTGAAGGAGAGTAGAAAAAAGCTTACCAGATCTGTGCTTAACTTACCTCACTACTTTTGCATATATATGTTGTAATGTGCTTGAACAGCACTATCAATGTCTTACCTGTGCCATAAATTTCTAATGCATTGTACCCATTCCTTGATGAAAACCAAAGTGGACTTCTTGCACTATGCTGCAAACCCTCTTCCCAGCCCCAGTCAGACAAGCTATAAATTAAGAATGTCATATGCCAAAATATGTAAACTCAAAATAAAAGTTCTTCAGCAGACCCGACAGGCACAAAATCAAAAGTTGGAGTTTCCCTGGAGCACCACCTTGTGGATACAGAGAAATTTAAATATTACCTGAAACCACAAACACTAATAGGTCCCTAATATCTTAGGGATGAAACTTAAATAGATCTTCCCATATGTAATATTCTACACGCAGTAATAGCAATGGAAAAGCAACAGTTCATACTGAAATAGGTAAATTTACAAAACAGCTCACAAAAAAGTTAATAGCACATGAAGTAATGCAAGCCAGGGCAGATAAGACAGTCCATGCTTCAGTCTCAAAACTAAGACACATGGATTAAACTTCCAAGATACAAAAAAAGGCAAAACATCCTAAACACAGACCAAATTGCAGGATACAAGTGAGTTCTTGCATCCTGCTGGAGACTTTGGTTCTGAGGCACAAATAAATGGCATTAGCATTCTTTTTGAGCAAGTCCAGAGCATGCCATAACCTGGCCATCAAGTTATAGCTGCAAAGTCACTGTAGCAAGAAATTAAGCAGCCACTTAAGTTTCCTACCTTAATCAATAACTTTTCTGTTCTTTCCAGCTGCTGTCCAAAATGGACAAAGCCAGGCTGAGCTGGTCTTTGTCTATTCCGGACCAAAGGCTGCAATTTGACAGTGAACTGGAAAAAACACTATCAAGTTTGACTTGTAGGAATGCCAATAACAGTGGTCAGCTGATAAACTGAGTTTAAAAAAAAAAAAAAAAAAGCATCACCAGTAATTTTAGAGAGGCAGGCATGACTTGATCTTGATCTTCTCCTCTTCAAACAAGCTAAGGGCTGGTGCTATGGAAAGGGCAATACCCAAAGACGTAAAGTGAAGAGTATTATATATTCCTTCAAGTCTGGTGTAGGCAATGTCTTAATTAGGACAGTCAGCTCTGGGTTTCTCCTCCAGGTAACTGGGAAATAGACCTCTATTACCTGCTGAAGGAAGCTTCATGCCATGGTTTGGCATGAACTCATAGAAATAAACCAAAGGTTTGGGCAAAAATAAAGGTAGTGCGAACAAAGTGTTCTGATTATTGTATTTGTCATTTATATCATCAATATACAGTACACTGTAACTACAATAAAGTGTAGATTTTGAGGTCAAAGTGCAGACATACAGTGAACCCTCAGGATACATGATTTCTAAAAAAGTGGGTTTTTTTTAATTTCTAAATTTGAATTCAAAAAATCCTGTTAAACTAGAAGAAATATGATAATTAAGGAATAGGATGGTATACTTCCAGCAAAGGAGCTGAATCTTATTTTCTATGTTCATATTCAAGCGAACAGGGGAGTGCAGAATTATCAGTAAAAGTCAGAAACTACTTCTCACAGTAAGTTCTTATATGTTACATGTAATATACAGCTTTGTTAATTACATTGTGAAAACTGAAAAGGTTAAAAGCAGGAAAGAATAAATGAGGTTCACTGACCAACATTCATTTTAATAAGGATTTTGTATTGGTTTTATCACTATAAAAGCTGCTTTTCACCACAAAGGCTTCAGGTTTTACCTGGTTTAGAACTTTTTGGAGATATGGTGTTCCCATCCGATCTGCCATGTGCCTATATGCTGGGTGGGAAAGAAAGAATTTCCTTTCTGCAAGAAGAGCTGCCTTTATGTCCTTCTTCCCATCAATGTCTTTCTGGCTTCTGTTTACAACACCAATATAACCTAAAAAACCCCCACAAAACCAACGGGTAAGTCAACGCAGCTATTGCCTGAACTACTGAATTCATATTAAATAGAACTAGACTGCCTCAGTTCAATCAAAACTTTCCAATTTAGGCATTTCAGATATTGTTTACAAGTACTGTAATGACCTTAACAGTGTCTAAATTGTTCATCCTGTTTATGTATAACAGATATACTTCCTTTTAAATCACCAATTCAAATACAGAAATATCTGAAACTTTGGTGTACCCCAAAGAAACCACTTCAAAAATAAACAAATAAAAAAAAAACCCAAACAAAATCAAAACACGCACCCAGGTCTACATAGATAAATTATACCAGATTAGCAAAATACAGGAAAATTTATTCTCGTTCGCTGGACCAACATACTCCATGGGAGGAGATGGTGGTCTCATCAATAAATTATAACTAGAATCAAAATTCTTGATATTCTTAACAGTATGAGCAACAGTGATGGTAGCTGCCAGAACAATCACATGGAAAATTTCTGGAAGGGGTCAAAACTTGGTTTACAGTGAGATTACCAAAATTCTGGTGCTTGCTTCTGTCATATGCAAAGAAGAAAAGATTCCTTAGTTACAAGAGACAGCAACCTGGCACAAAAAAGAAAACTGGCTATCAACTTGTGCTGACACTTCTTGTTTCTGGAATACGCGGTATATTTTCCAGGTCCAGAAAAAAAATTATTTTACTTGCAGGATATTTTTAGCACAGCCCCCTTTTATGTTTGCTGAACAGATGACAATAAAAGCTAGGAACTCATCAAGTCCAGCATAACCTTTGATTCACCTCCAGCACTCCCAAACACCACCCTTATCCAAACCATTTTCTGGATTGCAAAGAATATAGGCAACTGAACATTCTCACCTCTACGAAGAGGGAGTAGCTTGTTTTCTAGAATTTCTCTTGCATCTGTTCCTTCATCCATCAGATCCAATTTTGTGATCACACCAATGGTCCTAAGGCCTGACCAGGATGGAGACAGGAGGAAAAAGATAGTGAAGAATCATTTATATTCAGGAAGAACAATTACATCTTACAATTATATAATAATAGATATGTGACATTCTCAAAGCACGTATCACACAATACCAGCTACAACTGCAAGTTACGGTATATCTGGAAAAGAACGGATCATCATTGCCAGTGCTGAAATGTGTTCCTCAAATGTCTTTAACAAGGCTCAGCATTCCTATGATATGACTGTATAGAATTTATGATGCGAGTATCCAGAAACCCCATCAGCACCACGGTCCATTTTGCTAGGTACTACAAAAATTTCTACATGGGCATTGCCCCACTTGCTAATAAGAGATAGTGACAAAATTTTAAAAATACATTTACAGCATCATTACCTGAATTACACTGAGCTAACAAACAGTTATTGTGATGTTGAAGCCTATATAAGAATGTATACATACTCATCTATATTATAAATTATACTTCACACAAGCGTTGGTCAATTACATCCAATTATGTTATTGCTCTTGAGAACAAAAAGTGGTTACGTTCAATCATGCTTACCTTGAGGGTCCACTTCCTTAGCTAACTTCAGAGCATCTGAGTTGGCCAGATCAGTGTTAGCGGGAGTCACAGCCAGTATCAGACAGTTTTCTCGAGAGATGAACTGCATTATCATGTCTCTGATCTGCTGCTCAATATCTGGAGGCTGATCCCCTACTGGCACTTTAGTGATTCCCGGCAAATCAATAAGAGTCAGGCTTAATACTATATGGAAAACACAGGATCATAAAACTGGTTAGCACACAGGACACGTCTAAAGAGATCTACACATCTATGGCTGCAGACAAATTTTAGTCACATAAAGCCCCACATAATTGCCTTTATAGGTATATAAATATTGTCAATGGCTCAAACAACCTGCCTGACAATCTGAAAAGTACACTTGTTTCCCTGTTGGTCTTTCATCTCTGGATTTATCAGTACTATTTAATATTTTAAACATTACAACTGGCATAGGAGAATGATACTTATACTGAACATCCTTGGAGGCTCTTAGGCAAATGAACATGGCTTTCTGAGCTTTTTCCACCAACAGGAGCACAGACAACAGACCATTCCCATTGCATCTTTCAAATCAATCCAAAATAGGCTTTTTTTCTTTTTTAAATACAGTCCTTCTCTGACCATGCTTTCAACAGTGTCTCCAATTAAGAAATTCCAAAAAAAGTCAATAGCTAGCCTAAGTTATATAGCAAAATTGTTGTTAAGGGGTTTGGGGGTATGTTGTTTGGTGGTTTGTTTTTTTTTTTGGTTGGCTGTTTTTTTTTACTCTGTAACTTCTTAAGAAAATTAAGAAACATTAAAAAGTTCATCCATTAAGAAAACCTGGTTTGCTCTGGCATGATTTCTCCAGTACAGGCCACAATACCAACTAGAAGCATCGTAGCTTGTTCAGCCAGTACTGGGGCAACAGGGTATCCTTTAGAGAAATGAGAAAAATTTGATTCCTAGAAAGGAAACACCAGAAGTATATTTAGGGTCTGGCTAATATAGACAACAGTTGCTGAACTAGAAGACTGATCCTAATAAAACAAAGTAAAAGCATTAGGTAGAAAATTTTCAATTTTTTCCTGGAGTTAGCATGTTCAACATACAAGCTTTGAGGCACAGCATTTAATTCAGCTCCTCTCCAGTTGGCTATACCACATCTGCATAGCAGAGAAGGGCTCAGGGGCATATGTTTAGAGCCAAGGCTGCTCATGGTATATCAAAGGGAGATTCAGCATCTCTTTAATTACCTCTCCTCTTATTTTAATCTTTCTGTCCTTCGATTCGCAATGAAGACATCAGATGAGGTGGTTAGAAACATAAAGTGCTTCAGCCAAACATACCACTTTTCTCTGGTATCCAAGACAGATTCAATGCAAAACATTTTCTCTAGATTGCCTTCATTAAATTGCGCAGATGGCAACCAGAGGAACTAACTTTGATCTATACTGGGGGTCTACAACGAAAGCAGCTTCAGACACCATTATTGTCTAAATATATTTTTAGTGACAGCTAACAATTAACATCCAATAGGGCAGGGAGACAAAGACTTTCTAGATCACTGATCAGGGAATCCATCTGGAGGGTGGCAAAAAAGTTTTGCCTCTAAGTCTCCCATCTCCTATTCTTTGTCTTTACTAGCGAGCTACTCATGGTATACGTACTGGGGGAGAGACTGGTTTCATCCTGATGCAGAGTGAGAATATTTTTAAATCATGAGAATATTAAATGGGACAGAGAGTCTGCGTTCTGCCCAGCTCTACTGGCAACAGCTCTTCACTGTAGAATGGTTTCGTAACACAGGAGAAGTTAAGGATTCTTCCAGATACATATCTGCTTTTGCTTCAACTCAATCTCAGAAGTTTTTTTGTCCCAGAAGACTTCCAATCGAGCAATGAGAACACATACAAAAGGAGACAGCTAGATAGACAGAGCTAAAAAATACATTACATGACAGAAATATAAAGTAGAATGATTTTACCTACCATGTGGAGAATATATTCTTAAATTAATAGGAACTGAAGAAATGCCTTTGTTCACTCCTGTTATTCTATCTGTTTCTACTTCAATTTCCTGACGAACTTCATCAAAATCAGTAAATTTCCTCCCTTTGCAGTGTAGAAATTCAGCATACTCTGTGAAAAATATCAATAGCAACTCTGTATTTCACAGGCTTATAGACTTGGACACCCACTTTCAAGCCCCTAGTATTCTTCAGATGTGTATGCACAAAAGGATGTCATCATGGATATCAGGAAAGCATTATCTATGAGCACATGCTATAGATATGATTGCACAGATGAAAACCAGCCTACAAGAAAGGGTTAGTTAAAAGCCAAGCTGACTGGATATGATTTACTGCTTTTATCTTTAGCATGGCATCTTCTGGAACAACCTGAAAGATTCACATAGATACCGTTTACATTAACAGAATAAGGAACAGATTGTGAATCAGATTCTGAGTTTTCATCTGATTACATTTGCCTGTAATACATCAATAAATTGAAGAAAAGTCATTCAAGTTCTGTATCATGAAAGATTATTAGCATTTGTTTTCAAAATCTAACAGTCCATGTTACACATGATTTTAACAAAAGTTCTGTACATTTTTCAAGTTCATCATGAAAATAAGATCACTTAAAAACACTGTAATGTTTTTAAACACAGATCCTCATTTCCTAAAGACTTCCTGTAGTCTAAATCCAAACCATGCTTAAGAAGTTTGTAAAAGCTTTTATAGATATAGCTGTGATTTTGCTGAAGTGGGAGAACACAATGAATTCTTAAGTCTTCAATATCATACAACTTGCCCTCTTACCTTAAATAGGCATCAACCAGGAATCAGGCATAGATACAGTCTAATTTGTTAGACTCAAACTTGACACTAGGTCCCTGTTCCAACTCTTGACTCCAGATACTGATACTAATTATTGAATCCTTCTGAATTTCCTGCCCTAGAGGTACATAACCAAAAGCACATCTCAGGATTTTAAAACTTTCTTCCTTCAAATAGGGCAAAACAGAACACAAAAGTTTATCTCACATAGCAAGGCTGTAATCAGAAATAATTACACAAATAGTAATCACAGATAAAGGCTCACATCCTGTGCCCACAAGGTCTAAGCAGTAGGACTGGAGAAAGGCTGGACAGAGTTGTGTACGGTCATTTCATCCTGCAATCAAGGCCTGATCTCAAAGTTCCATTTAGGTGTTTCTTCCCTAGAAAACGTTTCTTGGTAAAAAGTCCTTAAACATCAGGGCAAAGAGCTTGCTTGGTACTCAAAGAAAGAACAGCAGCTCAGGAGACCTGATCCAAGAATATAGATTAACAGAGGGCCATATGTATCAGTACTGAAGTCTGTTTCCCAAAAGCCACTTTATTACTATTGTTGACAAAGCTGTTAAAAAAAAAAAAAAAAAAGTCAAAACCACACATGAAACCATAACAATAGTTAAAGCACACTGAAAGCCAAAAAAGGAGAGAGAGGAGGCGAAAACAACAAACATTGACCTTTCTGTGTTACAATACCATAATCCTTCCAGATTCAAAATGGGAGGGACAGGGAAACCCACCCTTGTTAAGAAAAAAATAATACCTGTCTTATTTTTAAAACAAGGGAACACCTAACAAAAACCCTCCATCTTACTTTTGACAACTTAAGAATTCCAGAATACCTTATATTCCTTTTTAGCTCTAGCAGCAAAATTACAACAAACGTGGGTTTTGCATGCTTCATTGTCAACCATTTATTAAAAAAAACAAGGAACGTTCAAATATTTCAAAGTGAAAGTTAGTATGGTGCACAAAATATCTCAGTTGCTCTGGCACATTTGAGAATTCACATTTGTAAAATTTGTCATCTCAAAGCTGGAAAATAGCTACCTACTGAAAAAAAGAGCTGACAAGTGGTTCTTATTTTGTCCCAGTTCTTCATGCACTGCTCCTGGCATAAAATAAAACGTGTTCTTCTTAGTTACTTTTTTTTTTTTCCAGTGGTTCATCAGATTTTCTCAGAAAAATATTTCATAATCCAATAATTAATTCTTGGTGCCTAGTTGTAGTCAGCTGACTGACTCAGCTGACAGTCAAGGAAGCTTTTCTCTTTGTTCCACTTAACACTCAAGTAACAGAAAGAGTCCCTATCTGAAATGGCTTCAAGGTAATTCAAATGAAAGTGTTTACTACTTTTTAGCTGTGTTAATATTTATCAATAGCTCATTCCTCCCAGTCACATCTGTGGTCCCACTAGTTCTGAAGGAATAGACTTTGCAACGGTTCATAACCTGTGGTGCCACGCACAGCCTACGGAATAAAAATTCAAATGAACAAGCAGCGCTTTGTTTTGCTCCTTTCAGCCTGTAGCCTGTCCTTGGCAATGATGCCTTTAGCCAGACTGGATAAGTGCATGCTTTAATGAAATCTTCAGTTTTCAGCTTTCATACACAGAAGAACACTAGGAAAACATTTTATTTACATTTTTGTGGGAATGGACAGGAAGCCAGACAAGAAAAAGTGATCCTGCCTACTGGCTAGTTTTCAGACATGTATTTTCTATATAAAACTGAAGCTATGTTAAGAGAAAGAACAATTAGATAAAAAATTAAAACATTGTCTTTGCACATAGAACACTTCCCCCCCCCGCCCCCCCGACTCATTCAAAGCACCTTGGATAACATAGAATGAAAAAGCTACCATAGCATAGTTCTCTTTAGTGCATCCAACCACAAGTGTCATGATAAGTGATTATTTCTCTCTTCAATTTTGGTTAAATTAGACAAATCATACTAACAAGTGGTATGGGATAACATTTTTGAAAATGCTCCCCATTTTGCCTGTGAGTTACTTCTCCCTATGCTTGTATGATTTAATCTAACACAATGCTATATTGTTATTAACAATAAATAGCCATTGTTGTTTTCAAACCGTTTAAATTACATACACACTTGAGATCTTTCATAAATCTGTCTCTAAGCTAAAGAGAGACGCGTTATGTACGCCATGTGATGAGACATGGAACAGCCCTGAGAAATACATGAGATAATTTAAAATCCCTTACTGAACCCAATACAAAAGACGCCTACCACACCTTTATTTACAAGCCTGCTACCCTGTAATAAAAAAATTTAGACTGATATAACGGGGTTTTTTCCCTTGATGAATTTGTGTTGGCTGCTATTGATCTCAAGTACCTTTCAGGTTGTTAGTTAACAACTAATTACAGATTTCTTTTTCCTAAAAGTGAACTTTGACTGATTTTTCTGTCACTTTTCTTTATTATCTTTTTGAAGATGGGCAAATATAGACCCATTTTCCAGTCTTTCAATGAGGGGATTCCATCTTTCCTGATGTCACTGAGCATCAACCTGGGATCAAGGAAACAAAACCTTCCAGGCAAGACCACTTGTAAAATCAAGTATGTGTAGGTATGACTCATTTGTCCCAACATGAGCTGAAGCCCATACCCTGTTTGAGGGCACTGATGGGAGAACTGGCAGAGCCCTCAAACCCATGCTGCCAGACCTCAGCAGTCACTGCTGATCAGCTCAGGTTACTCCAGGCACTGTTGCTAGTACACACACACACAGACAGCAGCAAGGAAGATTTGCCTTTGCAAAGGAAGAACAGCTTAAATTCAGGTTTCAGACCGGCAGCACTACCCTTCTTCCACCATATCAGTCCTATTTGGGTGATGAGTCTTTCACTGTCTCAGGAAGGGGTCACCTTCCACCTACCTTTTCCCCATGGCAATGTCATCTTTTAGCTTTTGGGGTACACACCTCCCACATCTTTACTGGTCTTTACAGCATTCCTGTTTGTCATCTGAATGAGCAGCTGCCAGAGAGTGAGATCCAGAAAACGGCAGCCACTGTCTTCCTTTCCTCCCTGCAAAGTGTCCAGTCTCTCCCCTACTACTGGCACTGTGGTACCTTGCTAGTTTTTGTCCTTGAAGACCTCCAAATGCCTACCTGCTGATGAAGTCTCCGAGATCATTTGTGTTAGCCGAAAAACCAATCTAAATTCTTTTTATAAATTTTGCATTTTCTGTTAGAGGATTGTTTTTTGCCACCAGGTGGCAATAAAAGATGAGTATGCTTGAGGAGTAGTCTCACAGCAAAAGATACTTGCATTAAAGCTCAGCAACTTCAATAGAAGAGAGCATTGCAAGACTTCAGAAAAAAGTCAGAATGTCTTTTGAACCTTCTGGTGATTTACTTTCCACCTAGTGTTCTAATTAGCGGAACTGGAACAAATGTGGGTATTGTACATATGACTCATTTATCTAAAAAGGTCCACCTCAATAATGATTTTCAAAATATGTTAATCTGCCACTTCTTTAGAAAAGAGACTGAAGCAAGACGATTAAGCAAATCTGAAATTCCTCTAAAAATAGTTATCAGAATGAGGAAAATAACCCTCCTAGAGCCAAGATATATTAACATGTAAATAACAAGTAACAGGAATGATACAGCAGGCAATGTATTTTTAACACACAGAAGACCTATAACAAAGGCTTCACCCAAAACCTAACTACATTTTTGTTGCCACTTCTGTTTAAAAAGCATACTACCCAGTCTCAAGTAATCTAGATAATTATTTCACTTCCACAGGCAGGAGAAAGCACAGCAAGAGGAAGAACAGATTGCCTAAGGTTATACAGAATGTGTGGCAAGAGAAAAAAAAACACAAAAAACACCCCACCAACCCACCTCTCAAGACCTTCTTGGGTATTTTAAGTCATTACCTTCCCAAAGCTTACTCAGCAGCACCATTTAAAAGTATCTATTAACGCCTACAAAAAGTATTTAATTTTTCTGATGTATTAGATCAAAGAATCACCAAGCTAGGAAGTATACTGAAAGTTGTGAAACAAAAACTTAGAATGTTTAAGAAATAGGTTTTAACATATAAATTAAGGCATACCAACTCAAAGGAAGAAAAACCCACCAGCTCCCTAGCCCTCCTTTAAGAAATTATGGTAACATATGACAAATTGCTACAGGTTAGCATGCTTACTGGCAAAACCTGCAGAGAGAAGATTAAGAGTTTGTATTAAGTTATTAAGTTATTATTACATTAAGTTGGTAAGGAACTAATATACCTTATGCAGAATTCAGTTATGTTGCTCCAGGACTA